ATGGGAATATGGGTCCTAGTGATCAGATTCCCATTCTGCTACTGTTACACAGTTCCATGAATATTGCCTGAGTAGCCATTGTGATATATGTAGTCAATATTTTGAAATGTGTGTCTCAATCTGAACAAAGTTACAGCATGTATTACACATGATTTTCTTATCTAGATGAGCAGATAACTGAGCGGACCTGTATGTAGCTGATAGCTAAGGATTTACTCAGATGTTTGCACATATGTAGTGTATGCTTTATGGCTCATATGTGCAGTGCGAGATGATGTGATGCTCCATTCTTCTCTCAATGATATTCCCAGCCTAGGTCATGTTCCGACCAGGGAACCTATTTAATGCTGGCAGTGAGATGTAGAACACTTACCTAATATAGACCCACCATTTTCAAAAATTACAACCACCTCAATGATTGGTGTCATCTCCTTGCCTCTGCCCCAACAGAACAATCGCACTTCCATAATTTCTTTAGCTTGTCTTTCATAATCTTCTCTATCATACTTTCTCGAATCAACACCCAGTCTGATGGGGCGGCCTCTAACCCGTGGAAGCACTTGTCCAAAGCGACAAAAACGTACCGCTCGCAATGAAAATGGTGAGTTAACTCCTCTATCTCCATCTTTGGTTTAGTACGAAGTTGAGGAGACATGCTCAGTGTTGTCATTACATTTTAGAGGTGCAGCAAAGTAACAGTGACAATGATTCAGACACCTCATCATCATCATATCAAAGTAAGTTGCACCTTCAGTCCTTGTTTTGCAGCGCCTAGAATATATTTCCCCTGACCTATACTGTTGCATCACTCAAAGATGATTCAGATTCAGATTCTGACGTAGTTGATCAAGAGGCCGACTCACAAGATGGTAAGTCCTCTACATTACCTCTGTTTCTCATTTGGCTAATCCCACATTCTAGGAGAGGATCCCCAGGATGCGCCAGTCGATAAGCCTAAGAGGCAAAGCAGCCGCCGCAAGCTAGCCAGCAAACCAAACAAGATACCGAACCAAGAAGAAGACTTGCCAGTCCGCAAGAGTTCTGTTGATCCTGTTGATGTCAATGGATTGCCTGTTCCAAAAACACCCACCACCAAGCCCACCATGTTCAATTATCAGCAGCTTGCGGCCGATTGGACCAAGATCGAGCTTGAGCATTATCTACGATGCGCAAAATCAACTGGTCACAGTCGAATCCCGCCACCCATCCTGAATGAAGCCAGGGCTCTCGAAGAAGAACTAACAACACGTTTGAAAGTGTTGAGCCTTGCTGGGGGTATTACATATGACACACTCCGATACGGCGTGTTGAGTAGATTGTCTTCCTCCATCGCAAAGACTTTCTCTGATGGTAATCTTTCTTTCTCTGCAGCCATCGTGCTGCGCGCGAGCAAGACATCTCGCCCTACCACCTCTTCCGGAAATTCAGCTTGGCTGCCACGGTTGACAACATAAGTAAGGTCACTTTGGTTTCACAACGTAACATAGCAAGAGCAAGCTAACAACATACTACTATATTTCCAACATGTTTTAGTGCCTCAAGTAGTTTCAAAAAGCGGTGAAGAGCTGAGTACAGAGGAATCAAGACCTCTGGCAACTTACAATGACAAAGTATGTGCGATTTGGCAAGAAGTCAAGCTCACGACAGATGTTGTAGTTTTCAAGAAGCCCTTATTTGATCGCATTGCCCTTGTGATCTCGAATGATCCTGCCCACCTACAACCACATGAATTACTAACTGCTGAAGAGGAAGAGCATCTACCCGTCTTTGAAAGACTCATCAACATCAAAAAGGTAAAAGATCATCTAGCCTTGAGCCGTCACCCAACTCAAAGAGCAAAGTATCAAGCTAAAGGTGTTGAACAGATAGAACAAATACACTCTTCAGTAGGTGTTCATCTTTCAATCTGTAGCTTTCACCTACACTAATACACACTGTCGCAATTGGAATCCCAGCTTGAAGCCGCTCATAAAGCATACGGAATGCACTACCATCTTATGGCAGCGTCGTGGAACCCTACCACAACCAACCCTTTGGCAGGCTGGAGCAAGGAATTCAGCTCCGATCACGTGTACCTTGCTGCTTTTTCTGCTCCTAATCATCTCCTTGAGAGATTTGATCACCATTCGACCCGACGCGATACCTCGAACCAGCAGCCAAAACTTCCCGGTACCAGTTCAAATGACCAGTTACGCAAGGATTTTACGTTGGAGTTGAATCGGCTTGTTTGTAAGCTTTCATCTTTGGTCTGCAACCTATCACATATGTAGGGTCATGACCGCTCATTCTGAACTGTAATGATATTAGTAAACCACCTTGAAAAAGTCGATCCCAGTCTCATCAAACCTCGAGTCCACAACCATCCAAAAAGAGCCAATTGTGATGTTGTGTTGCAAACTACAAGCTTTCCCAAAGGCATCAAGCTTGCTGTGCACCAAACAAGCGACTCCAAGGTTACTAGGGGTTGGGCGAAGCGCTGCAATAATTCAATTCAACTGTAGTTTGAAATCCCTTGCAAGACAATCAGCCACTGTTCAAACCGATTCAAACAATATCAAAAATCCCTATTTTTTTGGACGACTTTATGGCAGCAAAAAAAATAGGGTGGCGCAGCACGTAACCCAACCGTCTGTTGGGTTATCTGTTCAGATATTTCTCCAACTTGCCAGCCAAAAGCCTCTGGTAGACCAATGAGGTTAGCCTGAGACGCCTGTCACAGATGGCACTGCCCCAAAACCTGGCTGCCTATGAAAAAATTGTGTTGGTCAAGGCAGCTGGACACGGGATAAACCTGTGATATCTCAGGAGCTCTAGCTTGAACCACTTTGGGCGACTTTGATGGTCTTCGTGTGGCGGAATCCTATGTCGGCCAAAGTTGGTCGAATCGTCGCCCAACCCCTACTGCTGAGATGCTCTCAGCGGGCCCAGCAGCTATCATGAATGACAAAGACCTGATGCAGACTTGGTACCAGGATATCTTAGCTCGACGTTACACTGTCAAAGTTGTAAATCCCGCTGACGCTAAAATCGACCAACCCATGTTGTAGTGAACTTACCTGTGGTTGAAAGTACTTAATAACGCCATCATTTGACACGCTCGTTATGCATGCAATTGTCATAGTACTCCTTGCTCATGTTAATTACAATATCCCGCTCAGCATGCTATGAGCATCATACTACAATCCATCATTTGAAGAAATGTGTCTTGAAAGTAAGAGATGAGGCAGCCCTGACCATCCGCACCCGGGCTGCATGGTCCCCCAACGTGGCACTTTTGAATGAGTTAACCTAAGTACAACCAACTTACCCAATCTCACCAACGTTCTCCAATCTCACCAACGTTCTCCAACCTCACCAACGGCCTCCAATCTCAGCAACCTCGATGCTCAAATGCATTCGATTCTACGATTCTCACGTTGAATCGACCCTAATTGACATTCAACACCGATTCGACGACCCGATATAAATAAACAGTTTTTCAAATCCCGTTTGATCTTCCTCCTTGCACTTGTTTCTTTGACTGTTTGTAGGACAGGCTTCACTGATATTGATTTCACCCTTCCTAATTTTTATTTTTCTTAGGACACTCGGAATTCACGAGAGATTGATGCCGTCCTTTCAAAATCAATGTCACCCAGCACTCTTTGACCAAGAGGTAGGCGAGTCGATCCCCAACGTACTAAGCAACACACAAGCGTCTTGATCATATCAGAACACGAGAGTGTGTCAATTGTTGAATCAGACACAGTAATGCTTTGATCACGTTGATTGATCAATCGTGTGATTACTTTCCATTTCTTTTAGGAAGCGCATCAATAAGCAAACCATCGTCAGAATGGCCCGTAAACGCATCAATCATCAACATACTATCCAAGGTTGGTGGCTTTCTCTAACTTCATATATATATACAATTGAAAACCCACATGTGATCGATCAATGCCTCATGATTCATTTCTCTTGGCAGGATCCCTGAGAATGATTCATGGGAATGAAATCAAAGCACCCGGATGTGCTTGGATTTCATTAATGCATTGATGATCTTTGCTGGCTCCATGCTGACCACCTATCTTTATCACCCCCACACATATAGGACGCAACCTCGCCCATAAAGCCACAGTAAGCATATACTATCCCAGGTTGGTGGCTTTCTCTAACTTCATATATATACACAATTGAAAACCCACATGTGATTGATCAATGCCTCATGATTCATTTCTCTTGGCCGGATCCCTGAGAATGATTCATGGGAATGAAATCAAAGCACCCGGATGTGCTTGGATTTCATTGATGCATTGATGATCTTTGCTGGCTCCATGCTGACCAACTGTCTTTATCACCCCCACACATATAGGACGCAACCTCGCCCATAAGGCCACAGTAAGCATAAGTCGATTATCCGTGCGTGCTCGCCTCCTATATTCATAAAGATGAAGCTATGCTGATTATCAACGCCTGGCTTTCAAGGTCAGACGGAACCTTAACATACAACAAGAGATACGACGCACTGACCAATTGATGACGGTGACGATCATATTCGAATCTGTGAGCTTGCTGAGTGCCAAATTTGACCCAATACCCCTTGACTAATGTTCATTAACCGAAATCTTGGTCAGATTGTTCAATCTTTCAGGTCTGAATGGAATTCTTGCAACATCGTCGTCCATTTCCTCTTTTGTTTATATGTGACATATGGTGAATCAAATGGTGGAAATTGTAATTTTACAACTTCTGATGTAGATTCGATTTGGCATTTTTCACCATCCGACTTGGATCAGTGGTTTGCGTAGAAAGGTTAGTTCTACACCTTCGAAAGTTTTGCAACGTCTGCAAGATTTGATTGATTGATGAATCGAAAGGTACTTGTGTAAAAACCGATTGACTTGTTCAGTTTTGACTTTGTGAGCATGTGACCTTACACAGTTAATCCCTAATCCCTTACACTGTTAATCCTAAGAGTAGAGTCCTGAATATCCTGATCAATCTGGTTAGTCGTTTTCAAAATGCCTCCTAAGAATCGTTTTCCAAAAGATCTTTCCACTGATACCAAAGGTATCCTCAAACTTCAGTATTGCAAAGAAGTATCAATCATCTCGAAGACAGGGTTCAAGGGAAAGGTAACTTTTTGATTCTATCTTTGATGAAGATTGAGAATTGAAGCATTTGATATCTGTTTGGGTTTGTTTTATTGATTTTTAGGCATGGGTGTGATTAAGTTTAACATTGAACGACTTCAAGGTCTAACCGACGCCACTGGAGGGATTCCTAGCGTCAATCAGGTATGAATCAATTGATCGGTTTGAATGTTTGATTCTGTCAACCGTGACCTTTCGCTTTTGTCCTTTTGTTTGTTAATTCAGATCAAAGGTCATCCTTTAACAATTCAACCTGAATTGAACAATGCCAGCGAATGTAAATGCTTTCGACTCTCTGCTTATTCCACTTGGGAAATAATTTAGGAGGTGAACTCAAGATTGTAGATTATCCAGAAGGTAAGTATTTCCATTACTTACGTCATCGTTTATTGTTCCACCCTGATTTAACCAAGCACTGTGAATCTAACAGAATTCATATCACCTCGTAACTTCTCCCTTAGGAAATAAGCAACGTGGTGAACTCAAGATGATCATCTTCGAGGTAATGTTTTCCTCCTTCAGATGTAAAACAATCAAGAAGCGTCAACTCACTAGTCGGAGTGTTCTGGGATTCCATCACGTTTTCACCTGAGAAATCTAAAAACTTTCACTAGCCGACAATTCTTGCGAATCTTGTCATGATTTCATGCAATACCTACCAACCACAGTCATTTTGATCAATGATCAAAATGACATTATATTGATTAGACCAAAAAGCGAGGTTATCATCCCCTGACCGGGTTCAGGGCTCTGATTTCCTTGTGACCCTTCCACATTTTACAACCGGTTTTGTAATCTGACTGGGCCTGGTAGACCTGGACAAAGATACTTGTTCCTCGAATCCTAATTGCTCTCTCTACTATGAAGGATATCAGTAAGGTGAATACTTCTTCCATATTGTTCGATTGTAACCAACATCTGCCTTTCCAATGCACGTGTCATATCAGCTCGTCTGGGGCTGAATCTTTTTAATAAAGGATGTGAATATCCACCGCAAGTATCTTTCGATACTTGCGATAGGCCATCTCAACACATCCACCCAGTTTTGGTTGATGCGGAACAGGCCCTTCGAGGTATGTGAGGTGGTGTCAATCAGGGAACCTGCTAAATGTTTCTGAATAAGTTTTTGCTCCTTTAACCAGTTGCATTACATAAGTCCCTGACTCTGGATTTGATGTGTGATGCTTATGTTTCAGTTCTGACATTTCACCATGTCATTGTAACCATGTCGTTAACATGGTTATGTGTGCATTATTAGGACGTTGAGGTAGCCATCAGGTGCCTCCAGATCTCAAAAGGATGTGAGTTTGACTTGGCAACCCAAGTCAAACTCACCATTTAGCTTGGCCCATATTGTAACACTTTGTATGCATGGTCACATGCAAGCAACTACATCAGTAATGTTATCTATTTGCCTATACGTGCACAAATTGGAGTATCTAGACTAAGAGACTCAGGAGGAGTTCCAATGGTCCAAGTGATAAGGTAAGAGCTTTTGATTGCTGGAGAACTGCAGAAATGTGAATATCAGGAGACTACGTCTTAACACCGTATTTTTAAGATGTAGCAAAATGACTTGTTGTTCAGCGAGCGGCGGAAAAGACCAACATCCCTGAAATAAGACACAGCTCAAATATGCAATGATGTAGAGCGATCATGTGAGATTGAACCAGAAAACTACAATAAATAATGTTGTAAATTCCTTCTCCTTTCATTAGAACTTCAGAAGAAAGGGAATAACGAGTTGTGTATAAAACCATGCGTGTAAACAATTCTAGCGTACTTATAAGAAGTGTACGCTGGAATTATCTGCGTACACTTCTTGTGAAATCAAAAGTGTGAAAGACAAAGTGTGTCCAGTCCTTTCCACAGGGAAGACAAAGTGCTGGGTGGTCTAGTAGATCAAACTTTGTGATTTATATCTGTTGAAACTAGTATCTCACTTCCGCAGATCTTGTTGCCTACATTCTTATGTAAAACTTGGCAAGTTAGGATAGTAATTTATTAACATGTTTGAAGACATGTTTATTGTTCTGACTGACACATTTTGTTTACCATTTTGATAGTGCTTTACGGTAGAAGCTGGTGTGGTTTTTGTACATTTGTTCAACATGATTCAATGCTTCCTATGCCCTGCATTAGTGTTGGCCTTCAATTGGTACCTACGATTGGGGGCAGAGAAAATATAAAGATATGGTCACATACACACTACAAGTTGGGTGTAGTTGACCAACAAAGTGACCTTGCCCAGTGTCGGTGGTGATGCGCACATGTCTACTGACACTGGGCAAGTTCTCAACCAACAACTATGTACTAAAGATATGGTCAACTGCACATGTACGCACTACAAGTTGGGTGTAGTTGATAATATCTTCAGTGCGTTCCACAGTGTCAGTGGTGATGCTCATGTAAGTATCAACTCAGGAAGTTCCAACCATGCACTACAAGTTGGGGGTAGTTGACCAAAAAAGTGACCTTCAACAGAGTCAGTGGTGATGCACACATCAGGATATCTTTAGTGCGTGTTTAGTCTACGTACTAAAGATATGGTCAACTACACACTTACGCACTACAAGTTGTGCTTAGTTGACCATATCTTCAGTGCGTTCAACATTGTCAGTGTTGATGTGCATGTAAGTATCAACTCAGCAAGTTCCAACTACGCACTACAAGTTGTGCATAGTTGACCATCTCTTCAGTGCGTTCAACAGTGTCAGTGTTGATGCGCATGTAAGTATAAAATCAGCAAGTTCCAACTACGCACTACAAGTTGGGCGCAGTTGACCAACAAATTGACATTCAACAGTGTCAGTGGTGAGGCACATGTAAGTATTGCCTGAGCAAGTTCTCAACCAACAACCCACCGGTGCAACAACCTGGCTTCCCCAGGAGCCTGTGTAAAGAGTGACCAACCACGTTTGACTAAATGAGACAGTGAACAACAACCTGAGGAAGTTGAATCTGGCCCATAATAAGCAAGTAAGTTGTCTCTGGTATAATACATGCAACTCACAATGGTTGAAGTCTAAATGATGATTGTTCCACCAGGAGTCAGGTGTGGTGTGAATGTGACACAATAAATAATCACATGTTTTGAATTTAAAACACGAGTAAGTGACATCATTATATGGAAGTTATGAGTTATCTCAAGCTTATTGAAGAAAGCTTTGCAACAAACAAATGGGACTTGCACTTCAGCATAAAATTTTATACTCACTGTTGTACTCAACCTGAGTAAGTTTACTCAGGTCTACAGTAAGCAAGTAAGTTTTCCCTGGTAGAATACATGCAGCTTGCAATGTTCAAAGTCTTACTTACTCAGAGGTTCATACCCACAAGTCAGGTATGAATGATGAGTAATAAATAAGTATTATGTGTGTTACACAATACATAAAAAATTAGCAAGTTACCACATTATAAGGAGATTACAAGTAATCTCCATTTTCAATACATTAAACCACAAGTCAGGTGTGAATGATCAGTAATAAATAAGTATTATGTGTCACATGTTACACAATACATAAAAAATGAGTAACTTACCTCATTATAAGGAGATTACAAGTAATCTCAATTTTCAATACATAAAAATGAGTAAGTGATATAAATTATGAGGAATTTATAAGTTATCTCAAGATTACTTATAAATAAGTTATAAGTTATTCCAAGTTTAATGAAGAAAACTTTGCCACAATCAATTGGTATTTGCACTGATGCATCAAACTTTATCCTCACTGGTGTACTCAGGTTAAATTATTCTGAAAGTGTTGGTATCAGTCGTACACATTAAAGTGATTGTATTATACTCTGTCAGAGACGATAATGATTAATGACATCATTGCACAATCAGATGATCTAGATGTCTCTTACAATGAGATAGAATTTCATAACAATTAACTCAATGTATACCAGATGTATGGCTAATCATAGCCCCACACCTCACCATTCATGTCATATAGAAGGTCATATACATGGTCTTCCTGTTCCTCATACAAGTCCGGATCCTCAGCTTGAATTACAGGAGCACCCCCTAGCATCATCCACTCCTCGCCTGCCCAGTCACATACCCTCCCCCAAGATATCCCCAAAGCCTCATCGATTTTGGCACAACCTTCAAGATCTCCACGAGTCTCCTGAAGCCCATGCTTGAGGTCGCGGTTCCAATTGTGCCACAGCTTGCAACAGCTCCTTGATATAATAGTGTGCAGGGACATCTTCCTACTCCGGCAGGCTGGATCGTCTTCTGAAATTCCAGACAGGTCAGAGTCGCTCCTCAATAGAATTTAATCATAGAACTGCACTTTCCTTGTTCAATTTGTGTCTTAAAAGAAATGATTCTCTCATGATATTCATTTGCCCAACCAATCATCTGCCGGACTTCCCTGGCAATGCGTCTCAGCTCCTCGACAGCACTCCTTTTCAATAAAGTTGCATCTATGCCAGCTCTACACTTGTCAGCATGTTGTCCATGCTCTTCTTCATCAACCTCACCCCGATTCCAGAAAGCATCCTCTAACGACATCAGCATGACCGTTCCAAGGTCAGGGAGTGGAAGACGTGTCGCCCTTGAGAAATCGGTATGGTACTTTTGAACTTTGCGCTCATACGTTTGATACTTCACACGTAGGGTTGCTGTCTTCTTGGTGTGTTGACGCGCATTGTATTGTGCATTTCGCTGACCTATCAAACCAATAAAAAAATCCTAAACTGGTATAATCCCCATCAGTATGTATATTACAACACTAACCAGTATTATGATGCCGACGTAGCCTAGATTCGGTGAGGCCAACTTTGGCCTCATAAAGGTTGCTTCGTGCGATCAATATGGCTATAAGTGCATTGGTTCTGTTGTCTGTTATGAGTCACAAAGGACAGTTCGTTAGCTCGGCCCATTAAAATATAAATTAGATGGAAGTTACCAGTTGCCCCAGCCAAATCTCTAAAAGCAGCCCCTCCTAGGGCCGTTGCAACCGCCTCGATTTGCTCTTCTACATCAGCAACAGTAGCTGGTAGAGCCATTAGGTCATTATTTTCAGCCTCAGTTCGTGCCCTCCTTCGGGTTCGTTGTATGGTCCTGAGTCTTTCGCTGGAAAGAATCAAAACACAGTCAAAATCATAACAGGGGAATAATTATAGGCGAATCTTAACTTACCGAGCCCCTATGAGCTCCTCCTCTAAGCCTAGTAACACAGCAATCAATTCTTTTTTCCGACTTTTCTGCTCATTCATCGCATCTAGCTGCCAGGCCTTTTGTGTAGTCCACAGGTTCTTGAAGAATTGAGCACCATGGCCAGGGTAACCTTCGTCTGGGGTCTCAAGGCTTCTGAGTGTCTGCTCAGCGTCTTGAAGCCTTGCACATACCTCTTTCTTTCTGCGTACAAGATTTCGCGCTGGTAGATATGTTTCAGCCTGTTTATTGGAGGAATCAAAAAGAATAGAAACACACACCTGCATGATATCGGCGGATGATGTTGCAGTGGTCTGCCTTCATGCTAATTGCATTAACTCGATGTTGTGATGTTGAATAACGTAAAGGTGACACAAAAGGATTCAGATCCATCCAGTTTCTCTCACAACCTTCACCATCGGAAAGGCCCCATCCCACGTTGAGCCTCGGATTCCAGAGGAGCTGGCAAGCCCATCGATGGACATATGCGTGAAATACACTAGTACCAAACTTTAGTCTTCCAAGCTGCCGATCTTCTACAAACATCTCCCGCTAGTAGAAGATATCAGCTATTGAAACCACATTTGATTAAAAAAATTGTGCTAACGTTTACAATCCCATTCTCTATTGTACATCCTATGTCATAGAGAAAGCCTATCCGCTGCGGATCAAGACCAAGATCTTTAGTAATAATCAAAATCCAATTGATCAAGGTATAGCTATAAAAGAGCCTAGGGACAATGATGAAAATCAAACAAATAATAAGTCAGTCTGTCTCACGAGTCAGAAGATACTGCACCTCACTTCTCCCCGCTTTGAACAATATTTGTAAATCGAAGCGGGTGGTCATGACGGCAAGTCATCGCCATGAGCCCTGTTTCATCACATCCAGCCCAGTGCCCCTTTCCACGAGTGTCATTTGCTGATGTGTGTTGGTCCGCGCAGGCTTGCTGCATAAAAGACATTAATATTAGCATGGTACCATTTGATTTATGAATTATATAAATAATGAATTATACAAAGTCATCGTCGGAAAGACCAGATAGTCGTTGTTCCATTTCGGTGACTTGCTGATCCGGAATGAAAAGTTTTGGCATCTTTGTTGCCGTTTTGGCTGCTTTGGTTCCGGCACTTATATGCCTTCGATGTTGGAAATTTCCATCAAGGCAAACGATGATGTCGGGCTCCGATAAGATCAGCCCACTCTTGACAGGAGGGCCAAAACACCAAGGGCAGTTCTCGGCTAACTTGTCCTGTGTGGTAAGTTGGAGTTCAGCATCGAGCGCGGTTTCGGTCATTGTGAGCATCATTTGATAGGTGTCTATTACCCAAGACAGAGGTGTATGCCATTCGCGAGGCTAAAATAAGGTACATTATGAGACAGGTGTTAAAAATACAATGTGGTAAACGTTCATACTGACTACAAAGGCTTACCCAATCACTCTTTGTGAGCATGAGCGGATTAAACACGTCAAGAAACTCGTCCAGGCCGCGAGCAAATGGGCCTACACGTGTGGTACAATATTTCCATACAACATGGTAGAATCGGAGGAGCCGTATAGAAAAAGCTGTCACAGGGTACTTTGGTGAGCCGCCAATGTATCCCATGAGGATAAGCCTTGTTAGATCGCTTTGATGACAAGAACAGAAGCGAACCCTAGCCTTGCGTCTGACTTGTGAGTGTTCGGTGGTGTATTGTAGTTATCAGTAATAGTTTTAAGGACTGGAATAGCTTTATTCAATACATAAGGGAAGTGTGCTTACATAAAATGTCTATGAGATCAATATTTCGTTCACGCCATTGACTAGGTGGGCAGTTACATGCCGGCTTGTAATCAAAGTCCCAAAACGCTGGATTTCCCCATTCGGAAGTCTTGAGATGACATTCGATGTAGGCATTGAACATCTCTTGTGATGACTGTTCCAAGAGGAGATTGTGTTGTCGTCGCTCTTCTTCGATTCGTTCTTGATATATCTCGTCGATGAAATCGGGATGTGGAAGGTGATCGGCTATTTCTTCAGGTAGGAGAGGCTCTAGATCACCATCGCCGTAATTAGCCATATCATGGGGAATCGGAGGTGCACGGCGGGTGTTTGCGATGACGGCTGCAAGCATACGTTGAAAATGCGCCTTTTGTAAAGGCGTCTTGGGAGGCTTGAGCCAATAAGGCTTTTGAGGTCGAAATGTTTGGTGCTTTCCTTTGAAACGAGACATTTGAATGAAATGAAATTGTGAGAAAACGGAAACTGGAAGGTAATCAATGGATGAGTGATGTATCAAAAGATGGGAAACAAGGTAACATACATACATACTTGATTCAAACGCAACCCCTGTGAAACACTCAAACCTGTGAAAGAATCTACCTGTGACACACTCAACAGCGCATGGCTGTCAGTATCTTACACAAGTGTTAGCTTTTTGGATAGTCAAAGTGACACGGTTTTGTTAGCAAACACCACAAAGCAATATTTTGAAAATGATGATAATAAAATTAGTGATGGACATTCTGTAGAAATCCCAATTTTATTATACAAAACAACAGAATAAGTAACACCATAAATTATTACATTGACTACCCCTCATCGGATGATGAGAGGACTTCTACAGCTTTGTTGTCAGGGTTTAATAAAGGTCTTTTCGCTACTATCAAGGGTATTACATGATGAATGAAGATATCTATTTGAGGTTGAAATTTTTGTGTCCAATCAGCTGCCTTGGGACATGCAAGATTGTACCATTCTGTCCATGGACGAGGAATAGGGATAGTTGAGAGAGGAGATGAAAATGAGATAGACAAAAAGTGAGCGCCTTGTCAATCATAACAAACAAAGATAGGTGAGTAATCATTCATGGGACAATCGAGAGGGAAGGCTGTAAAATTTTCTTGTTCGTGGCCTTTACTGTAAACACAGAAGGGCCTGTTGTAAGTAGTTGCAATAATATAAATCATTCGTGCTGAATCAAGCCATAGTGAAGGGTCGTTGAGAACTTCTTTCCTGCGGGTTCTGATGGCTGCAATGTGCTCAGTAACACCACCATCACCTCTCTTGCGAGTTGTTAGGTGAGCCTTGTAGAAAGCAGGTTTAGACTCCAGTTCAGCAATCAGCTCATTTCGAACCGCAAGCCAGTCGTCTTGGGTTCGCCCCAAGCTGATCGCAATAGCCCGATAACCGCAATGTCCATCACCGAGTGGGTCCCGAACAGACGGTAGGTATTCATGGAGCCAATCTGGCACTCGAACATCTTGTGTAACTCGATCAGCCTGTGCAATCAAAGGTTTAGTCTATTTGTCTTTCAAATGGGCAAGTCATGAATGGACACATGTCACGTACACACTTTTTTTGAAACTTGATTGCGTGTAGACCTACGGGTTCCAGAAGACGAGGTGTCAAGTTTATTCCTGGTAGACCTTCGAAGGGGGCTGGGTTGTTTCTGATTCTTACGTCCCTTGGCACCAGATTGAGTTTTGGTGATAGGGGTGGGCACCTTTATCACCAAATTGAATCATCCATCCAAGTTAGTCATGTGCCAATAGTTTGAGTGGTCAGGAATTCGACTCACAGGTAAGGGGTGAGATGGAGCAGATACAGGAGCAGGAGGTGTGTTACATGTATTTCGGGATGGTAGCAAGCTTTCAAATTGAAAGCTTTCATCTTCTTCATCGTGAGGACCAACTGGGGATGAAAGCTACATTGAAAGGTCAGTCGATTGGATTACTGCAAGTGTTGAGCAACTCACCAAAGGTGTTGTCTTGTGAGTCAGAGAATCGGGAGGTAAAAGCTAAAGGGTTGGTTTTTGATTGTTATCACATGACCTAATACTTCGACTTTAGAATGATATTGCAACTCACCAATGGGTCAGGTAGGCAATCATGAGGTGGTGTAGGAGGCCGTGAAGCTTGTGAGACATTGGTTGAAAACTGTGACGCTCTAATCAGCCTTGAATTTTAACAAGACAGGTTGATGAATTATCGCTTACCGAATGTTCTGAATCGTAGTCGACCAATCGATTAAAAGTGGGGGGTTTTGTGGATACAGTGTTGAATTCCTGGAGACAAGGCGGAAAAGAGTTATTGGAGTTGTTGGCCATAAGGTTTTCCTGTTGGTCTTGATCTGCTTGATCGGGTAACGAGAAGCTGCGAGTCAAGCTGCCTAAGTTGTCATCACAATCAAAGTTGGCATGTGGAAGTGTCTGAACGCTTAAATCCGGTAGTGTGTGAAAGATTTGACCAGGTGATGGAAGCCGAGAGGAGCAATCAGAGCCTGGAGCAGGATTCGTGGATTTCAAGTCATCAGCATCTAAAGTGAGGGATTTGTCAATCGTAGAGTCGGTTGCATTGATCTGATGGGGTGATGGAAGCTGAGGAAGGTCATATAAGTATTGAGTTGAATCTAAGTTGTGAACTGGATGTGTAGCAGTTGTAGTTTGAACCTTGTTCTGCTTTTTCTTGGGCTGGGCTGTAGTGTGAATTGATTCTAAGTGGTGACCTTGTAGCAGGGATACATGGTATCCCGGTACAGTCGACCCATTCGGGTCGGGCTAAAACCTTTTAGCCGTACAGAACAGACTAAAGGTAACAAAGAGATAAAGACGTGCTGAGCTAAAGAGGTGGACGCCCTCCACAAATGCTCAGCACTTCAGCTACATCGCTCAAAGGAGCAATGTCTACCAATGACTCAATAACCTCACCTCACGAAAGGTGATACAAAGAAGTCAAAAGAGAGACTCTCTCTTATCTCGAGAGAGTCACTCTCCAATCAGTTGAGTCCCACTTATTGGCTCTTGAGAACCACAAGTTCGCCTTCCTGCTCCATTTTGTATAAATAGAGCCCCAATTCCCTTATTGCAATAAATACCCAGTTCATATAAGCAAGAATTGCTCTCTTCTGGAAACCGTGACTTTTGCCTAATTGCCTTCCATTCTGATCCTTATCACAACTGTCGACAATCTATTCATAAGCACTTGATTCCTACTTTTATCCCGTAAGGTTATCACCCCCTAAGTCACTTAACCGTTCCTGTCCTAACCTTAGTTCTGGTCCTGTTACAACCTCCAGAGTCAACGACTGGAAGGGTCGTAGTAACTGTATTGTGAGATTCGAAGTTAGTAACTGGAGGAGGCTTAGGCAGTGTAGTGTCGGTTCCTTTGATGTGTTGGGACAATGGAATCTGTGGAAATTGATCCAAGTCGTGAACTGGCAGTGTCGCATCTTTGGTTTTGGTCTTTCGCCGCTTTTTCTTGAGAGGAACTTGTTCGAGAACCACATTTTCGTTCTGTCACATTAAAATAATATTAATGAGTGTAAAAGATGTGATACGATATTTATAAATGGAAAGATGTCTCACTTCTTTGGTTTCTGTTCCAGTAATTGGGATCTCTTGTGGAGCTTGAGATACTTTGGGTCGATGTGGTAGAACGGCTTTTTCCAAGGTGTCCTGGGGTGACTGGGGGAGGGGGGGAATATGGTACTTATCAAGAACTTGATGAATCTCAGCAAGGGCTTGCGACGGATCAACATCCGAAAGCTGTGACAGCTTGTTCGATATCTAATGGATTGGGTGTCAAATGAGCTGGAAGAGGAGACTGGGGTTTTGGGGTGGTGCTGAGACTAACTAGGTTGGATCAATGCCTGATAGTAGTTAAGCTCTCGCCACTTGCGTTTGTGTTATTGGTGGCCTATAGACAGATGAAGGCAGAAATGATATCTCGATCAGTTATGGGAATTGGGCTGAGTAGTTTATAAGTAGACTCACATTAGGATTGATTGGTCCATGATTATGAGTAGAGTTTTTGATAAAGATATACCAGCTACCCACAGGAGGGGTATTTGAGTTGGGAACAATCTGCTGAAGTGCACTTGGAACGTTGGGTTGGATAACCTGTGAGGCCGTGAGGGCAAACGGACAGTCTGTTTTCTGTGAAGTCGAAGTTTCTGAGGGTTTTGTGCCAGATCAATGGCAGACAAAGCGATATTTTGTTGCCCCTGACGATCGAATAGTCAGCTTATATCCATTCGCTCA